ACAACAAAACACAACACCAACATTGGACAGAAAAACGTTACGCATTGAAAATCAGAGTAATGATGATCCCCAACGGCAGTTTTTCAACCTTTTATATCAAAAATCTATGACAACTAACCTAACAATACAACAGTCAATCACGACTAATCAATTTAAAAAAGTTAAATCTTATAAAATTAAATAATCAAAATTCACAAGTAGTAAGCAATTTATCATTTAAAGATATTTAGTAAAATTTAAAACACAATATACCTAATCCCTTATTTGATATATTTTTATTCTTGATTCTCTAATGGAAATGCGAGAGGGCACCACAAGTATTTGCATAAAAAGTGAATTAATAAATTGTAACACAAAAATTTAATACATAACATAAAATATTAAAACATTTTAAAATCATTTTAAGTCAAAGCTTCGTCAGACGACAGTTTGTCTGTTTCAAAATGAATCAACGCCTACGAAAGTGAAGCGATCGAGCAGCGCAGGGAAAATTTTTATCGCTAGTTTCTTCACTTTGACGGGTTACTTAATTTCAATTCCACTTCGAGACCAAAGCAGTATCAACGCCGAATGGTATAACACAAAAGCCTGCCAGAAGTTTTTTCTGCAATGGGCAACAAGCGACCTAACACCGGGTTCCGCGGGATCCTTCTTTACATCTTTAGATACTTGCGATAAAGAAAAGTCCATAAAAATATTCGTTTAGACGGTACACCCAAGATAAGCTGATGACGATAAAAGCTTTGGAAGAAAATGGAACAAATTGGGAAGCTGACTGGGAAATTAAATGAAAGAATATAAAAAAGGCAAAAAGAAAAGGGAAATAAATATTTTATTCAAAAATAAAAGAATTGATTATCTATTTATCTAATAAAATTTGTCAGTACTACTTAAATCCTCCTTCTTGCGCCGTAAGGTCGCTGGTAATGTTTACAGTGTCCCAGTACTCGTCACTTTTCAAATAATGATTAATTAAAAAATCCTGTTTATATTAAAGTATTTATTCATGGTTATTTTATACTACGTCATTAATTTAGAAACACTTAGTTTTAAAGCAACAGTGTAACATGGAAGTTAAAACAAAGAAGCCCAGGCTTTAGCTTTTTTTAAAGTTTAGTCACTAAACCTGAACTCCACCATAATGCATTTGATTCCATATATTGCTGAATCTATGGGCAGTTCGCTGAATAAAATTATTTCTTGTAAAAGTTAATTAAATTACCTAACGATTTAATACCTCTCGAAAAGTACTATTACAGACCGGTGACATTCATTGGTACCTTAAAACCTTCCTCCTGGCCTAATACTCTTTAAAAATAACATTAATTTGGCGGTTACTAGGCCAGACTTAAAACCGATACCAATAACGTCATTACAATACATACATACTTTATTACATATAATTTATATCAAAATATTATCAAAGCCGTAAAAAAATGAAAATTATAATCAGTTGTTTTCTTAATTTGTGATTGGAGGTAGGTATATTGAATAATATCAACATTTGGCTTGAAATATAGATAAGGTCTGCATGCTGCAAAAAACCCCAAAAAGCTATCAACTGAAATTTCAAAACTTTTTCGTAGTTCTTGAAGTTTGATTACATATGAACAAGCTAAGTTAATTAGAGTATCCGTACTGTGAGATGCATGTATTTTAAAATTTACTGTATAATATATGATATAAACTCTCCCACAAGGCCCTCCAACTTATAGAGCAGAAAAGCAAAATGAGGCTACAGAACCCAGGACACGAAAGTCAGTACCAGTGACTACATATAATGATAATTCTGGCTCTGTTAAGATTCTTCTTCTTAGCAACTTTCACGCATTGATAGCGATTATGTCAATAAAGAAATTATCCAGCAGAAAAAAGGAGGATCAAAAGTGCTTTTTATATCATTTGTATGAAAACTGGTGTGATTTATGATAATTGAGCATCGTTATTCTGATACAAATTCTGATTCTCTAGGATTTTCTTCAATTGTCTTTTATAGAAACCCCATACTGTATTCTTTTAGAAAAACCCCTAACAGGGAGCTTATTCTACGGATAAATCATACACGCAAAGAAATATATATGTGCAATAATTTTCAATTCCAAAGTATGAGGAATCCTCACTGAGGATGACTCGTCTTTGTCGACGTCGAATCCTGCAGTCTCACCAATTGTGCTGAAGACTTGTGCCCCTTAGTTGGCTCCGGTACTAACGCGTCTTTTCCGGCTCTCCTACTCTTTAGGTGTCGTTCCGAACTCATGGAAGACAGTTTTATTGCACCCGATTCTTAAAACAGGCACCCGTTCACTTCCTACTTATTAAAGGCCTATTGCCATCACCTCCACGTTCCCAGAGATAATGGAGTTCATTATAAACTGCCAGCTCCTGCGGTACCTAGAGGACCACCAGCTGATCAGTGACCACCAGAACGGTTTCCGTCAGAGTTACTCGGCAACTGATCTTCTAGTATACATACCTCATCATTGGGCAAAGGCATTGAGTCCAAGGGGGAAGCATAAGTGCTCAGTCTGGATATCGCAAAGGCCTTCGATTGGGTTTGGTTTATATAGCGAGGTATAGCGAACGAATTGAATAGCGAGGAATGATCAAACAGCACAAGCAGCATTGTATTACTTTAGAAACCAATTATTGCATTTATTCGTAATATCATCTTAGATAGTGAGGTCGCCCAAGCATGACCACATGATGACCATGACCTAATGGAAGTGAGTAAGTATGCCTAGGTACCTGGTTACTTATTGGGGATTCTAATTAACTTACGACTGAACTCCCACAAGACCATCTCACTCCGTACAAACCTTTTTAAAATTAAATTTATTTTTTCAACAAATATATTGTTATTACTGCAAGATATAATCTGTGAGTATTTATACCGATCTCTATGTAAATTTTCCTAGGAGTTTTTATTGCTTCAGATGGTAAAGTTTCATAAAGTTGTTGTTTCGGTGCGATTTCTTGAGAAATCCTGTTGAACTGGGAAAGGTAAGTTTCATAAACGCTCGATGAAAGCCTAGAGGAATTTGAATAAAAGCATTTTATTACGAAAACATTTATTCATGAAAACAACAAATAAATTAGTAAAAAATAAAACAATCAGAACAGTAAATTAATAATCATGTTAATTGATTTACTTAAAGTAACAGTATAATTTGTTCCCATGAGTTTTAGTTTTGTTCCCGTTAATCAGATATCAGCCTATTTATAGATTGCACTAAGTGTTTTTGTAAAAAAAAAACAAAAGAGCTCCGGGTCACAGTTAAAATTACAGAAAAAAACATTAATACTTAGTTATTATTTAAAAATGCAATTGCTTTATATTCCGGCGGAAATAGGGTTCTATGTTAGTGGTTTAGGTTTTCGCGTTTTCGTCCTTGAAGTAGACCATTGTGTGTGCGCCATGGCGGCCGGTTATTTCAGCCAGTCCACCTCCCTCCAGAAGCAGATCAGTTTTTCCAGTCTTCTCAGGGTACCTGCAAGGTATCCCGGTTTACCAAGAGCCTCCCCGCGGATCTAGGCGACACTGGCGCACTCAAGGAGCACATGTGCCACCGTTTCCTCTGCCTCTATGCAAGGTCTGCTTAGAGGACTGTCAGTGATTGACAGTCCCATAGGGATGGATACACAGATACACATTGGATTTACGCTCAGATTGAACACCCTTCCTCCAAGGTTTCTCCCTTCCTCATCGTCACAGAAACAGTAGTCAAATGACACTAAAGTTTCATTGTCCATAATTAAAATTATTGATAGTCACGGGTTAGATGAATAGAGCTCTCTGCTGCACCCAGGGAACAAAAGTATATTTTGTTCTCTGGCCTTCACTTAAGTACAATCTTCGCAACTGAATTGGATTCAAATTTAATATCAGGTGAAGAGGAGTATTTTGGTGGGCTTCAGGCTTCCTCAGCCTGTTATTAACCCCACTGCTGGGTCACTGGCCTTTCCTATAATAAAGAGTTTGGGCCATGAACTACAATGCAGGCCAGTGTGGACTGATGTTAGCTGGGTTTACTTAACCCAAATAAATAATAATATTGAGTGAACGAAAAGTAACACAGCAACATAGGCACCTAGGTGCGTCGCTTGAAGTGTGGTCAATTGTGATAGATATACAATACATTCTCTTAGCACAAATCATTATCGAATTCGAATAGTTGAATTCGATCTAGATATACTTCAAATGTGTACTAATGTTTAGTTCTCGTTTCGTCCGTTGTAGCGCTGCTGTTCAAGTTTCCATACAAATTTTGACAATGACATTTCGCACTCGCAAACTATTCGAATTCGATATTGGTTCGTGCTAAGGGTACTTGTATCCTTACACACTTTTACTTTATACGTTCGTGCTAGCACGAACCAATATCGAATTTATTGTTTTAAACTTTCATGGTCACTAACATTATAGATATTAACGGGATTGTTACCATGTACCTTGTTTTTTATGAGTCTCCGATATTTCGGCACTGTTGCAAGCGCCATGATCACGGAGTAACTGAAGTAATTGCGGGTAGATGTTATTGGCAGACATATCGGTCTACCCTCTGACGTCGTCTTTTACTGCGTTCGATACTACCACTACCATTGGTCACATTCTCACTATTCACTCGCATTTGTTCCCGGCACACAATACTCACAGTATCAGATCGCGGAACGACACTTTTTTGATTTTTGCGGTTTTTACACATACGAACCACTGGATTCCACACACTAGACAATTTAAACCCATCCTCACGATTGAAATTCTTGTGTTTGGTTATTTCAATCGCTTCCCTGACCAATCTTGGTATGTAGTGGCGTTCTGTCGAGATAATTTGTGGATTATGGAGCTCAATCCAGTGATTAGGACCCGAATCAATTAAATGTTCCGCGATGGCTGATTTTTGCGTATCATTATTTAACTCATAAAAAACAAGGTACATGGTAACAATCCCGTTAATATCTATAATATCGAATTTGACTAGGCAAACTATTGTGTGCGAGTCCGATATGTCATTGTCAAATTTTGTATAGAAACTTGAACAGCAGCGCCATAACCGACTTATCGAGAACTAAAAATCATACACATTTGACAATGAATGACATTTCATACTCGCAAACGTTACGATATCGATATTGGTTCGTGCTAAAGGTACTGGTTCACTGACGAAAGCTTCATGAGTTACAAAGCGAGTATTATAGGGGTAGGGAATAGATTAACCGGTCGAATTAAAACGCACATCTGGGCAAATAACCTTGCCTTACAAAATACCACAATCATATTCACTACCTTTTGGTGGTTTTGTGCTTATTTCTGTTTTTCTTTTTTATTAAATAAAGAATAGCTCCTCTCTTAGCATCAAGTGAGGCTATTTGTAGTAATTAATTAGTTTAATGGAAAAGCTCGTTTAAAGTTATACTCTGGAACTTTAAATTAAATTTAAAGCAATTGTATTTTCGTTACTTATTAGAAAATTATAAACTTTTACAATTAAATTTAAAGCAATTGTATTTTCGTTACTTATTAGAAAATTATAAACTTTTACAATTTTCTAATAAGTAACGAAAATACAATTGCTTTAAATTTAATTTAAAGTTCCAGAGTATAACTTTAAACGAGCTTTTCCATTAAACTAATTAATTACTACAAATAGCCTCACTTGATGCTAAGAGAGGAGCTATTCTTTATTTAATAAAAAAGAAAAACAGAAATAAGCACAAAACCACCAAAAGGTAGTGAATATGATTGTGGTATTTTGTAAGGCAAGGTTATTTGCCCAGATGTGCGTTTTAATTCGACCGGTTAATCTATTCCCTACCCCTATAATACTCGCTTTGTAACTCATGAAGCTTTCGTCAGTGAACCAGTACCTTTAGCACGAACCAATATCGATATCGTAACGTTTGCGAGTATGAAATGTCATTCATTGTCAAATGTGTATGATTTTTAGTTCTCGATAAGTCGGTTATGGCGCTGCTGTTCAAGTTTCTATACAAAATTTGACAATGACATATCGGACTCGCACACAATAGTTTGCCTAGTCAAATTCGATATTATAGATATTAACGGGATTGTTACCATGTACCTTGTTTTTTATGAGTTAAATAATGATACGCAAAAATCAGCCATCGCGGAACATTTAATTGATTCGGGTCCTAATCACTGGATTGAGCTCCATAATCCACAAATTATCTCGACAGAACGCCACTACATACCAAGATTGGTCAGGGAAGCGATTGAAATAACCAAACACAAGAATTTCAATCGTGAGGATGGGTTTAAATTGTCTAGTGTGTGGAATCCAGTGGTTCGTATGTGTAAAAACCGCAAAAATCAAAAAAGTGTCGTTCCGCGATCTGATACTGTGAGTATTGTGTGCCGGGAACAAATGCGAGTGAATAGTGAGAATGTGACCAATGGTAGTGGTAGTATCGAACGCAGTAAAAGACGACGTCAGAGGGTAGACCGATATGTCTGCCAATAACATCTACCCGCAATTACTTCAGTTACTCCGTGATCATGGCGCTTGCAACAGTGCCGAAATATCGGAGACTCATAAAAAACAAGGTACATGGTAACAATCCCGTTAATATCTATAATGTTAGTGACCATGAAAGTTTAAAACAATAAATTCGATATTGGTTCGTGCTAGCACGAACGTATAAAGTAAAAGTGTGTAAGGATACAAGTACCCTTAGCACGAACCAATATCGAATTCGAATAGTTTGCGAGTGCGAAATGTCATTGTCAAAATTTGTATGGAAACTTGAACAGCAGCGCTACAACGGACGAAACGAGAACTAAACATTAGTACACATTTGAAGTATATCTAGATTTTTAGAATTTTTTGTACAATAAAGGTCGTATTCAGAGACGTCAACAAAATTTTTTGTCATTGGAATCACATGCTGTTTCCTTCTTATTGAATCGCAAACAAAGAGACAGCACAACTTTCATCACACTTAAAACTTAGTCTACGTTTCTTAGTGCGGCCATAAGTGTAAAATAAAACATAATTTAATATAATATTATAATGAATACGCTTATTACACTTTTTTCTTTCCGCTAGCTGTCATGAAAAACTCACTAACGCCAATAAAGTTATTGGCGCCAATAATGTTAAACCAAGTGGTTTAACATTATTCTAAAGACCTTTTTTCAATCCCGGATAAAATGTATTTATGTTTACAGACAAAAAGAAGAGTTATATTCAATTTACAATCATGTTTATTTTTAACAATGTTGCACATAACCATTACTCAATGATTTGAGAATGAAAAATTAAGACTAAGAATTAAAGAAAAAACAATTTATCCAACGGAATATTACTTTATATTAATAAAAATATTATTCAGCTTAGTTTTTGTACTTTATATAAATTTTATTAAATATGTTTAGTTTAAGGTTAAGTTATGTAATATAAACCTCTCTCATAAAAAAATATCTTGATTAAAACTCTCTCAAACGAATCGTATTAAAAAGTGGAATGATTATATCATCGTCACCATTTTCAATGGTCGTATTAGTTTACCACCTAGTTAATTCACAGGAAATAAATTATCGTTATGGCTTTATGGGTCCAAGCAAAATATAATTTCATAAGTTTCCTTTCCGTTGTACCGAATGCACCGTTGACTTGCACCATGAATGATTAGTTTCGTTTGCACCATTAATATAAATACTACTTTTCCCCCCTTTCTTTCTTCGCCATAAAAAGTAATGTTGAAAATACTAATTAATGCCGAATAAACTAATAAACTTCAAATCTTTGATTATATACAACCTAAGTTTCACTCGTTGTTATTACGAAAATTTACTCAAATTATACAATTATTGAGATAAAATTGTAAAATAAAAATTATAACATGTAAAGAGTAATACCTAGTTTCATAACCACGTTTTATAGTATAAGTAACATCACAATGGTTTAGATAACACTATCTATAGGTATCTGTGGTTCATTTGCTTCATTAATGGTGCAAACGAAGCTAATCAGTTTCATCTGTACCATTAATGGAGCAAGTCACTGGTGCATTCGGGACAACGGTTTTGTTTAATAAACTATTGTTCAAATGATGGTTAGTCATATTTTAGGATACTGTGTGTACCATCTTATTAAATGAAAGCAATTATGTATAATACAAAAATGTTTGAGTTGCATGCAGGGAAATATAAGTTTCTTGATATGGTACTCAATCAAAGTACCTATTTACAAGTATGCAGGTACAGCAGTACATTTCTCCCCCTGTAGTTATAATTTTTATTCAAATGTTGCTCTTATCCTATCTTCTATGCAGAGATGGTAAATGCTTTGGTTATTTATGTAGAAATACAATTATTTACTCTTAAATTTATAATAAAATAATATTTACTTCCGCTACCAAAATTACCCGTTTCATTGTTTAGCATTAAAAGCCAATGACAAATTGTAACCATCAACGAATCCTTGACCGTACCAATATTTCAATATATTAAGAGATTAATCGAAGAAGTAATTAAAATTAAGTTTTACATCAGCATGTTTGATATCACTAAAGTAAAATCCTAAAGAAAAATGAACAACAATGTACAAGCATAAATACACAATGAGGTATACACAGAATAATTTCTGACGCCGCTAACAGGGCAATACAATTGAATCAGGGGTTTAATCATTCACTCTCCAACACCCACAAAAGCAAATACATGGATTATGCAACTACTATTATACTTTGGTTGATTCGATCAAAATATTTACCCATTTAATCAATATATTTCTTAAACTAATGTACAGGACCAAGTCAATATATATTGTAGTGGATGTTCCTCAATTTTCGTCATAGGTGTTGAAGTAACAATAAAGTTCCTAGCAACAACACTGTGGTGTGACGATCGATACGCTATTGATCAACTTATTTTTCTTCGCCGAGAAAATAATTTCTTGTTGCTATAAATTAAGTAAGTCGTGATTCATTCATGATCGTAATGTTAAATATAATATAATTCGTTGCTTATTTTGAAACTTGAAAACTTAGCGTTATTCTTCAGATAAACAGAATGGTCAGGCTACTTGTGTACGGCACCTGTATTTATAGGCACGATTCTGTTTGTGATGTATTTTTTTGCAAAACGTCCATCGCACGTCAGTGTTGTGGCCCTTTAAAGTGTGATCTAAAATAAATGATCGCATATGGATGATACTCTACACTGCTTTCACAATATCTCACTAACGGCGCGGGCAGGGATTACATCATAGACGGCCTTTATATTATAAATAACGAAATATCGGTGTCGATTCTGGCACGATTCTCTAAATCTAAACTTAATTAATTCTGAAGTCTCTATACAGAATGAAAAGGAGAGACTGATGTTAAATTTAGTTTTAAGTTTAGAGAATCACGCCAGAAGCGACACCATTGTTTATAATTTACAAAACTGAACATTAAAGGAAGCCCATACAAGAAAGCATTTTATATTGACATTGAAGAAACAATAATTAAGCATAAAATTAACAATTTGTACTTATTTAGGTACTTAGGTACCAATAAATGAGTTTGAGTAATTCTGTAAGATGATCTACAAGTGTTTGTGTTCGGCAGGACTAGGCTCAGGCTCTTCGGTTTCTCCAAATGTGCCATCTCCGGTTTTTTTGACTCTATTGATGATCATAGACGTACTTGCAGCTTTGACTAAAAAAAAATAAGTATGCTATTTATAAAACATTCTTAGTGGGAATATAACCACCAGTAATCAATAGCACGTAAATGCAAAGAAAAGAAGTCTTACGAGGTTTAGGTAATACAATTAATACTGCTTTCCGATGATGAAGATATAATCAATGAATCATCATATTAGTAGAATTGTTTACGTTTTCATGTTTCGAGTCCAGGTGGTGTTGATAGCTTCCATTCGTATTTCCATAACACAAGTGTTATCGAGCTACTTCTTTGTGATCAGCAATGTAGGTATGTGATGATATCCAAATGTATATCTATTTACTTGAATCCATCAAACTGAGATTAAGCAATGCTCCTAAAAACCTTGAAAAGCTATGATAAATTTATTTAGTTCCCGACCAATATCCGAAAATGTTTTGCTATTCAAAAACTACAAACAAGTTGCGAAAATTCAAGTTTTTTGAAAGTCTACGATCATTGATATAAATGTATGTAGATGTCTACAACATGTTTCAATAAGTGGGAGTGCTTTACTTACGGTCATATGCCCAGCCGATCTTTGCGAATGCATCGATAAAGTTAGTGGAGATGTTGATCCTGCCCAGTTCGGAGGTGCGGTAGTCCCACGGGAACACGTGGTGGTAGTTGTGCCAGCCCTCACCCAGCGCCGCCAAGCTCACTACTGCGTTCTCCACTGGCGTAATAAACCTGAAGCAATAGATCACCATCATGGTTACTAACGTAAGAAAATAACACTCATATCTATACTTATATTATGGAGCTGAAGAGTTTGTTTGTTTGGTTGAATGCGCTAATCTCAGGAACTTCAGGTCCTATACTTATATTATGGAGCTGAAGAGTTTGTTTGTTTGGTTGAATGCGCTAAACTCAGGAACTTCAGGTCCGATTTTAAAAAATATTTTTGTGTTGATAGAGGAATGCTATATAACATCACGCTACAACGAGTAAGAGCAGAGTATTGATGAAAAAGGTTGCAAAAACGGGGAAAAATTATTCCATTTCAGCGCTTCCGTTGCGTGCACTGCGTAAATGGTTAAAGTTACACAAAACTAATGTATGACGGATTTTTTCCCCTTTAAAAATTCTCTCAAAAAGTCCGCGACAGCATAACATGCCCATCTTCTAAATTTGACTCACTATATCTTTTTTCCTCAAATTAACCACATTCATCCACTGTTAGGCGACATGAAGTTCATCTAGTTTATCTAGAATTCCATAAAATTAAATGTTTTTGTTAAGTCTTCTTAACTATATTTAAAATTTGTTCTAAAAAATTACGTATAAAATGATGATAACAGAAGTGTTCATCAATGGCATTTATAATTTGTAATGTAGTCCAGGGGACTTCTGTTACTATATTAGCCTTAAGGTTGTCCACGACAATTTTGGGTCAGCCAGCATTGTTGATTTTGATGGAGACACATACATTCTCGACCGCTGACACAGGCCACTTAAACTATATCAGCTACACGCTTGAAAATTTCTTCAAAGCAAAGCCAGCGTATGTATTTGTTTCTTAGGTTAAAAAATCATTCCGACGAAGCAGCCTGTTAAAGCTGCGAAACATCAATAAATAAATATAGTTTCGTGCATTAACCCGTTAAAAACTAGTTTTAATTAGCGTATGTATGTTCGGGTGGATGGGTATTATCGCCATCTGAGCTGCCCGGAAAACCCGTCTTTTCCATGTAAGAGATGCACATTGACTCCTGTCCAACAAGATAGATTCTACGTGTGTCACTAAAAATCCCATTTCGGCAAAGTTGAGACAACTCGATTCTTTGACCATCTTAGTCTGGCAGCTGATGAGGTGCAGGAGAAATTTTCCATCGCAGAACAAATGTTTTTAGAGGACTTCAATGCTCACCACGATTTGTGGTTAGGTTTCAACAAAACTGACCACGCAAGGATTTCTGTTCATGTATTTGCTTTCACGCATGACTTGGCGATACCGGATGGATATATAGTTTATTATCTTTTCTTTTGTGCCTGGAAAATGCCCTACGCATCCTTCAACTACTGGGGGAGCGAGAAAAAGGTATGTGGGACTCCTCCCTGTCCCCTTCAGCCAGCCCTGGAGCTCGCTGATGTGAATAGGGCCCTACCTACGCTCTGAACAGGGCCACTAAAAACCAGACAATACTCATGCACCGTCACCCGACACGCACTATGAGGATTGCGGTCTCCCATAGTGTGTGCCGAGAGGGCGGGTGTGGTCGCGGAACCCGTCTCCGAATAGCCGCGCACCCGCCATTATTACCTAGATACTTTTTATCTCGAAACAATGTTAGGTTCCTGTGAGATTCTCAAAAAAACGTGATCGAAGTCGCGGGCGGACGCTAGAAGTTAATAGGGTTAAAAACTTTAAAACCAATGAATGCAATAATTTGATTGCGCAAGCATATAATATTCATGGGGCAAACACTTTATGTAGATAAGCGATTTCCTTTCCTCTGTTAAATGGATATTGTAAACTAGTGGCCGCCCGCGACTTCGTACGCGTGGAGTTAGTGATTTGCAAATACTTTTCGACCCCAAAGGGGGGTTTATTTCTAAAGATACATTATGGTGTGTACTAACCTCTGCACCATCTATAGTTAGAGCATACATGTTCAAATATGCGTCGTTAGATTACACGTCGTTACAGAATGAATTGAAAAAATAAAGGTTCACTGCTCGTTCCCCGTAGGTGATAGCGTGATAATATGTAGCCTATATGTTGTACCGACTTTTTAATAATTTTCGTGCCAAATTTGAAGTAAATCCATGCAGTACTTTTTGAGTTTATCCCGGACATACATACAGACAAACAGACAAAAATTCTGAAAACTATATTTTTGGCTTTAGTGTCGATTGTAGATCAGAATCCCAAGTATTATTTAAAAAAATATTAAATGTAAAGTTTTGACTTTCCCACCATTTTATTATATGTACAGATAATATGAATAGAGTTTTACTTCAGTATACGTAGGTTGTGTCTAGCGTACGTAAATAAAGATCTCTTATCTACCCTTTGCTGTAATCCATCAGTTATTCTCTTGAAGTTGTCTGGAAGCAACCAGACTGGCTAATACGTCTGTTTGTTAATTCCCATCCAGCAAATAAATGATAAGAATGGGACATATTAAATAAATTAACCGAGGATTCCTTTATTTAACTTGTTTATTTGATAAATGGACATATTAAAATGCTTTATGCTCCTTAAATAAAGACAAGGACTATAGACAAACAACCGCCATCTTTACATATTTCTTTGATTTGAAAGCATGTCTCGAGGAGGCGTGTCAATGCCATTATGATAATGATCAAATATACGTTTAGCTGAGATGGCCAAGATCCATAAACAATATTTCAAATTAACATTATTGAAAAGAGACTGACTTCTGAATAAATGCATTAGTTTCGTTTCATATTATTGAAAATATGTATATAATAATTATGTTAATTATACCTACCGATCTCGCTAAGAAATAGGTATCTACCACATTACAATGGGTATATATTAAAATATCTGAGCCCGATTATAAGTGTAGAAAATTATGTTTTTATGAAAAATCTAATATCTGAAATGTGTATTGTTTTAAATATAATTTAAATAACTATAGTTAATAAGTAAATAATTGTACATTACATAAGTACCTAATTCAATCCATTGACAGTCCATTGGAATGGATGGTCAATGAATTACACCGAAAACCGAACGCGCTACCAGTACGTCATCTAATTAGGGCTTAGTTTTTTATAAACCACAGATGAAAATGAATTGTATTATGCTTATTACACAAATAAATGCCCCGAATGGAATTAGAACTCAATACTTTTCGAGCAGAAAGGCAGGGGCACTAACGCTCCTCATTAATAATTAAATACCTATACACGAATTAAAGTTCAAAATAATAATTTAAATATACTTACTTATCATAGGGCTTGTTTCCCCAAAGATGTGCGAAGCTGTTGACGCAGTACGCGATGTTTAAGGTAATGGTGAATCGAGTGACGAAGCTGAGAATGAGGCTGTTCAGCAGGGTTTCCTGCCAACAGTACCAGGGCACTGCCGTTGGCACAATTATGTTCAGCAACCCGAACAAAGGAATGAACAGTCTGAAAACAAATAAAACAATCATGGAACATAGTTTATTATATTCATTATTAGGTTGAAGTAGTCGACAACGAATCCTTATAATTTAGCCATGTCCAGTCACGCCAAAAAAGTGGTAAAAATTAAATTATGAAAATAACAGGCCAAAGATAACTTATAATATTTTTATAGGTTTGTGAAGACAATTATTTGATTAAGGGAAACAATAAATGAAATAATAAACTTCAAGTAGGTTCGTAAGAGTCAAATTGATTCATAGTTTTATCATTTCATAAATAGATCTTATGGTTTTTGTAGAATGAATATTCTTTCAATATCAGCTTCTGTTCCCCAGAGTACAATGCCGTATGATAAGATACTATGAAAGTAACTAAAATCACATCAATCACAGTCCTGGCAGTATTTGTATCAGTAACTTGTCTTATATTTCTAATGGCATAAGCTCCTGAACTAAGTTTAAAGGCCAAAAGCGTAATGTGATGATTTCATTGCAGTTTCGAGTATATCGTTTTACCCAAGTATGTATTTGAGTCTACTAAGGCCCGTATTAAAGAAAGATTCTCAGTGATTGATCTAGTCTTGAACGTAGTTAGAAAGGGATGTCGCTATATATAGCACATAGAGATATCCCTTTCTAACTGTACTCAAGTAAAGATTAACACTTAGTTGTCATTCTGTAATACGGGCTTAAATCTAAGTTTTCATTATTTTATTTTATTCCAATATATTCAACTTTTACATTAGGTGAAGAGAATTGAATACAATTGATTTTATTAGCATTTAGCTTTAGATTATTAACATTTAACCATTGCAGAACTTGCGAGAGAGCATTATTAACATCGTCATAGTTATTCTTGCGCCTGTCTACATTTAATAATAAAGATATGTGATCAGCAAATAATACTATCCCACACAATTTTTTCACAAAAAATGGCAATTCAAAGAATATAAGGTATACATAATTTGGGTGAAAACTTAACTTCATATTTGTTCTGTTTATCATTGTAAAGTTCCATTGTTTACCTCCGGAAGTACATAACCGCCAGATCTTCACCAAACTCAAAAGAAAAGTGAACCAAATAAAACAAGATTTATCAAAATCGGTTCACAAATAACGGAGCTCTACGCAAATAACCGTAAAAACCGGCCAAGTGAGTGTCGCGCCACGCGGATTATAGTTCCATAGTTGCATCACGGAGACGAGGGCTTTTAGTTGTTTGGACCTAAAAACATACGGCAGCCGTCGGCGAGGTGAGCGGTGAGTAAAATACTTCCAGCGGAGCGTAGATAACGCGCGCCATGCGCTGTTTAAACGTAAATATTATTATTAATTTACGATTTTTTATTTATTCATCTGGATATTTATGATATTAAAGATTTTTTTTTATAGTTTTAAATGGTCCATGTATTTATATTTACTATCCGTTTACACAATCATCAATATTATTATTTTTGAATGGAGCTTTTTTTGTCACAGTTAAAACTAATTATATATTGCTATTTACACATGATGTAATCATATTAATCAATCATACTAAATGTTTCCATTATTTATTGTTTAGTTTAATAGTAGAAAACTCCAACATAGTTACATGATAAACATAAAAAAACGAGCGAGCCTTACAGTAGTCGCGTGTGTAACATTGGAACCCTACCTTATATTAGCAAAAAAAGAAATTAAACCCATTACAAAAGGAATAAGCCATTTGAACATTATGTTCTAGAATCAAATCAAATAGCGCGCGCTTTCGCGACTTTCTGTTCCGCCATCCGTCCCATTTCACGAAATCACTCCCACAAATTGCAGGAAAGCGAGAGAAAAGATGTTACACATCAAAAACAAAACATAAACATTTTTATTTAATACTTATATTTTTTTTCCTTTAAGTAGGACAAACTATTTTCGATAGAAAAGAAAAATGATTCATCTACAGCAGTGGTTCTCAAACTTTTTAAATGACGGAACCCTTTTGGGAAGCAAAATACTTGATGGAACCCTACAATAAAACAATTATTTTTATAAGTGTATTCTATATTAATCAGCATAATAAAAGTACAATGTATCCGTTACTAATTATTATTTACTTCACCACTTGGTAAGGACAATAATAGAAAACATTAAAAAAGAAAAAATCTAACTAGTGGGAGGTATGAAACTGTTTTTTATTTTTCATCAATTGCTTGATATCAGGTTTGATGGAAGAAAGTTGGAGTCTCATATCAGCTTCGGCGTCCAGTCTATTGCGATATTTTGTTTTCGTGGCTGCGTAGGTAGAGAATCCTGTTTCGCACAAATATGTAGTTGGGAACGGGAGAAGAATATCCAGAGCCATTTGGCCAAGCATTGCATATTCATCTTGGATTCTGCACCAAAAATCATTAAGAGGCGTCGTTTTGAACAATGACTCCATACTTGTGTCTGATGACATTTCTAAAAGAGATTCATATATCTCATTTGACATGTTTTCAGGCTTTTCCAAGTTGGGTAAAAAAGGATTATGAATCCAGGAGTTCACTTTAATTTTTGTATTGTGTTCTTCGGGAAAATACTTTTCAAAAGATGCGCGCATCGAACTGAGATATTGGACCAATTCTTCAAACACATTATCTTCAAACATTTCTGAGTCGTTTTCGCTAACAAACTCAGTGAGTAACGTAAAACTTTCTATTTCTTTCTTACCAATGCAAATGATCCAAAAATCTAATTTTCTTTTAAAAGTAGTTATTTTATTATAGGCCTGAAACACTGTTGTCTGTTTACCTTGCAATGATAAATTTAATTCGTTAAGTTTTTGAAAGATATCCGCCATAAAAGACAATCGGAACAACCAAGTTTTATCATACAAACGGTCCTTCAAATTAAAAGAAGTATCTGCTGAAAGAAACATTTGTAACTCGGCTCTAAGTTCAAATAGCCTTGTTAAAGTTTTTCCCCGAGACAGCCATCGCACTTCTGTATGGAGCAGCAGTGTTTTATGTTTGCTGCCATAATCTTCACACAATAATGAGAACAATCGGGATTGTAGTGGTCGTGATTTGATAAAATTAATTATTTTTACCGCTTCATCCATAACTAATTTTAGATTAGACGGCATTTGCTTCATCGCAAGTGCTTGTCTATGCAGAATACAATGACTGGAACTACAATTAGGCGCTTTATTTTTCATTCGTGACACTGCTCCTGCTGTTTTACCTGTCATCGCCTTGGCCCCATCTGTACAAATGTCAATGCAATTGTTCCAACTGAGATTATGTTCTTCAAAAAATATATTTATTTTATTAAAAATTTCTTCCCCGGTAGTGTTTGTAAGCAGCGATGAACACATAAGCATGTCTTCTTCAAAAGAACTTTTATATGGATATCTCACAATAACCAGCAGAATAGCCAAACCAGCGACATCAGTCGACTCGTCCATTTGCAAAGCGAATCGTGTATTTTGTAGACGTGTAACTAGTTCTTGTTTGACGTAGCTTGCCAGATCATGGATTCGTCGTGAAACAGTATCGTTTGATAGCGGAACAGTAGAAAGATGCTTTGCAGATTTTTCATCAAGCATACATTTTGTTATGTCTAATACACATGGTTTTATTAATTTCTCAGCGATAGTGTGCGCTTCACCTGCTTGTGCAATGCGATAGCTAACTAAGTATGATGCCTCCGTGGCCTTTTCGTTGGTAGTTTGTGTTACATGCATCATATTTTTTTGACTTTCTAATAACTGATCTTTTTTGCGAACAAAAAATTCTTTATTCTTGTCTTTAGTCTCGGGGTGTACGGTTTCTAAATGTCGACGCAATTTGGCAGGTGCCATGGAACTATTAGGAAGCAGTTTACTACAGAGCATGCAGAGAGGTGAGCCGTTGGAATCAACAAATCCGAAACTGATATAAGATTCATCATACTTCCTTTTTTTCGTCTTTGAAACCGTCGAGCTTGACGTCGTGGCACTCGTGGCATCATCTTCTGGATCGGTGATTGCTAAATTCTCCGCGCGCATTGCTTTTGAACATTCAGCGTCATTAGAAGATGTTGTTGGAACACGTTTAACACCTTTAAGCCAACGTTCCATTCTTCTTTATTTATAATGTTACAAGTCAGGATAGTGGGGTTTAAATAATGCACAATCGTTACTGCGTATAAGAGACTAAATTTAGAACCTACAGGGAAGAAATGTATAAAACTGAGACAACAGAATACAGCAGGCAGTAAAACAATGAACACCAGTTTCTCGCTAGCGAGCTTGTAAGTAGGTAGTAACTTATCGCTCCGAACGCTAATCATCAACTGACGACGCCAACGCGCGATCGCCGCTTTTATACTTAGTCCTAGACTCGATCTCAAATATTCTCGAAAATACTCGAGTCGGCACCTTTGATAAACAAAAAGCAAAAATAAAAACAGAAATTTAAAAATAGCGTTGTAAACAATATCGACTTTATCCTTTGAAGTTAGAGACGAAAGTCGCTAGTTGACAACTATAGCGTCTAATTCAGAGGCGGCTTTTATCAAAGAGACTGAGCGCTTACAAGTATACTACCCGCTCGTTTTAAGTTTGCCGCTGGCGATAGGTATGAGTGTATGACGTTCGAAATTTTTTATTTAATTGTAACAATAAAAATTGTGTACGTTAGATATTTGGGTAAAACTATGACACATTATAAGTTTTGTTGTCACGTGGGGGAGGGTACGCGCATTCCACAGACCGGCAAACTTAGAGCGAACGCGTTGTACAAGTATAAAATTGTTGAGACCAAACTTATGAGATATTGTACCAGCTAATGTAACACAAGCTTATACAAATACAAATAAATAAATAAATAACATTCATAGCGTTTTGTCTCCGCGCGGCCGCGGAGTCCGCACAGCCGCGGAGCGACCAGAGAGAGGTGTTTTGATTTTTTTATTTCTAAATTCTTGCGGAACCCCGACAGAGGTATCACGGAACCCTAGGGTTCCGCGGAACACACTTAGAGTATAGCTGATCTACAGTCGTTAGCACCATCAAATTGGGCCAATGGTAGCAATTGAATGTTTTTTTGATCAAGGCCCAATCTCGTTATTTCATGCATAAGGAAGGCCTGTTCCTAGCGAGGCTGATCAGCATTACGAGGCCGGTGATGAAGTACATCGTTTAAGTTGGTCGATTGGTATCACCCGTATACTTGCTATGTTTTTTCCAAGTTTTATTTTTTACCATTTTGTCCCATGTATTAAGGCAGTTGTCTAGATTATAGTCTCTGAACTATGGACAGACAGAAGAACAGATAGACGGAATGGAAATAAGTATACATGTCGTTTAAAGGCAAGCCAAGCTACCGTTGTTTAGACAACTCTTATTTGATAAGAGTGATTGCATTCATATCTATAGAAAAATATTGATTATATTTGTCTATGTTCCAATTACATTATATTCCAAATGCAGGACACTCAATAACAATTGAATTATTAAAAAGAATAATATTTTTTATGGAACAAAAAAAATATAGTGTATGTAAAATTTGTATTGTACCAACCTGTTATTGTAACCTATCGAACAAATTCAATTAATACTCAAAAATAGACCGCACCACTTGGTACAATGGCATGCTTCAATTCCACGAAGGTTCCTCAAATTTGGTGAGAGATAAAGCCACAATTGACGAACACAAACATCATAACAAAAATCAATGACTCCCCGTGGTTCATTCTCGCAGCGTAATTTAAGCCTCAGCTAATTTCCCGGGTATAGTCTTCAAGTTATGTACTTTTTACATAAAAAGTTTCTGGTGAAATGAATAAAATGATGTAAGTATACAAGTAAAGTTAGCGCAAAAGTTTCTTACAGTTTTTGTATCCTGACTACGGGATCGGCCATGAGGTCCGTGGAAGTGAGTTTGAGCGCCGCCCGGCGGTTCTCGACGGCGGGGTGTGGGCTCAGCACCAGCCAGCCCACGTGGGCGAACCAGAACCCGCGTCGCACGTCGTGCGGGTCGGCCACCGTCTCAGAGTACTTGTGGTGCACTCGATGGTCCAGCGCCCACGTATAGATGTCACGCTGAAATGACAACAGAATATCATTATATTATATTTACATACATTAAAGCAACATCCCATGTTGCTCTTTTATAAATAAGGAACCGAAACGAATGCCAGACCGTCGTTATTTTTAAAAATGTTGAAAGTTTTACAGCGCCTGCTTCTAACACAGGTAGGAAAGGTGGACACCTATGAAGTTTGAGTCGTCGTAGCTTTGGCACCCTCATCATCACCAGCCTATTAATGTCCCAACCGCTGGGGGACAGGCCTTCCCTATGAATGGATTAGAGATATTCGGCCGAGACCCCCCACTCGGGTTCAGTGCGGATTGGTGCAGATGCAGTCGGGACCAACATTGGTTATCCATAAGAATAGTGTGTTTTTTCTGCTCATAATCATTCTAAAAACAAAGAGCCTTGCTGGAAACACAAAAAAATATTGTTGAATTCCATCATCAGCCCTATTAATGTCCTCACTGCTGGGGCACAGGTCTTCTCTATGGATGGAATAGGGAGATTGGGCCATGACTCACCACGCGGGCCCAATGCGGATTGGCGGGTGCTAACGACTGCAGCCAACGGCTTAACGTGCCTTCCGAAGGACAGAGGAAATCGAGATAGAACATTTGTGGTCACCCATCCAATGACCGACCACTGCTAAAGTTGCTTAACTTCAACGATCGCAGCCGAACGCACTAACCTCTTGCGCCATCGAGCTCCTCAGAATGATTATGATTGTTGAATTACTGCTGTTCAATTATAGATCCGTAAGAGGTAATACGTAAATCAAGAGGTACTTTGAGACAAGCCACGATCAATGTTATTTTTACGTACGTACAAGTACGTACGTAAACAGCCAAGGGCCTCGCTGGATGGATGAAGCGATTTATCGTAATTTGTATGAAAACTGTTTAGGTACATTGAACCTTGTTAATAAATTCACGAAGTACATTGAACAAGCCAAGCACTACCACTACTTTTACAAGTCTAGCTAGAGGGGCCCCGCCAGACAGAAACACATATTTTTTTCGGGATAAAAGTTATCCTTCGTCTCAATCCAGGTAGTAAACTATATGTGTGCAAATTTTGTCCAAATTCGTTCAGCCTTTCTGAGATTTAATCAAGCCCTGCAGTAAAATTCTTCCCAGGAAATTACTATCACTTTTCACACAGTTTCAAAGAACTCCCTTACATGGTTATTTTTATTGACGACCTCCGTGGCCGAGTGGTTTGTACGCCGGGTTTCATGGCGTCGCCGACTCGAGAGGTCCCGGGTTCGAATCCCGGTGGGGGCAGATGTTTGTGTGGTGAACACGAGCATTTGTACTCCAGTCATGGATGTTTAATATGTATTTCTATATAAATATATTTATATATGTAAAGTATATATAAATACACACAGTATATATATATATATGTATATATATATAGAGATACCAACACGGTAAATGTTGATCTTTCGAGACGTATGATCAGTTAATTGTTGATCCGAAAACAAATGTTGATCCGGAGGCTTTATGTTGATCCATTACGCTATTTCTCATACTGATGTGGCTCCGATCGGATCAACATTTGGTATTTTTGTCACGTGACTTGGCTGCAAATTACTCTTGTCAAATGTGGCTCCAATATACAAATCCGCTCCGATAAATGTTGATCCGATTCAAACGGACCAATCAGGATGAAGCACTTTATTACTTCCACCGTGATTGGCCCATGGCGGTCAATACAACGTTGCCGTTCCGCTTACTACAGTAGTTGGTCCATTGAGAATCGAAAATTTAACTTTTAATCTGTGCGTGTGCGTAATTGAACTACTCCGAAACGGCTCGACTGATTTTCGTGACATTTTATATGCATATTCAGTAGGTCTGAAAATCGGACAACATCTTTTTTTCATTCCCATAAATGTCAAGAGTTTTTTAAGGTCCACCCTTAAATATTTTTTTGTTTTTATTTTTTTATGCTACATCATACAAAAATACATACAACCCTAAATTTTCGCCCTTCTACCACCAACCCCTTTTTTATGGCGTTACGAAATTCGCCAGGACAGCTAACCTAATATATAAAATTCTCGTGTCACAGTTTGCGTAATTAAACTACTCCTAAACGGCTCGACCGATTTTCGTGAAATTTTATATGCATATTCAGTAGGCTGAGAATCAGACAAAATCTATTTTTCATCCTCTAAATGTTAAGGGTGGTCCACTCTTAAATATATTTTTTGTTCTTGGACATTTTTTTTTATTTTTATATTTTTATGATACATCATACAAAAATACATACAACCCTAAATTTTCACCCTTTTACCACCAACCCTTATTTTTTATGGCGGTACGATATTCGCTGAGACAGCTAGTTTTAATATAAGAACGCTTTCGTTTGAATTGAGTTTAATTGCGGTCAGTTATTACATGAGTAGGATTTGACTGACAAAGAGACAGGACGCCATGGAATGCCTCAGAGGGAAGATAAAGGCTCCCGGCCCAACCGGCGTCCGAAGAAGGCTGTCCACCGTAGACGCGATACTCAGACTAAAGCGGCTCTCCCAACAGACATTTAGCAGAGGGGAGGTTGTCATAGCGATATCGCTTGACATAGCAAACGCATTTAGCACCCTTCCCTACAGCTGTATTAGGAAGTCCCTCTACCACCATCGGCTCCCCACATATTTGATGGTCATAATGGAGCACTATCTCCAAGAGAGAGAAGTGCTCTATACAGATTCTATTCGGCGCGCAGTTGTTCGCAATACGACGTACGTGGTTCCACAGGGGTCGGTCCTCGGAAAGCTCCTGCGGAACGTAGGTTTTGATTGGGCGATTCGCGGAGATTTGCTGCCCCATAAAGGGGTTATTTGCTATGCAGACGACACTCTGGTCACCATACGCAGCAATAATTATGCTGTCTGCATAATTATTGCCCCGTATGGTGACCATCAGGTTCACCAGAGCAGGAGTAACATCCACATTCAAGTGGACGAGGTAAAGGTTCCATTAAAACCCTCAATCAAGTACCTTGGGGCTCTGGCTTGACTCTTACTGGAAGGTAGTGAGCACTTCCGGCGCCTGGGCCCCAAGCTAGAGGGAGCGGCAGCTGCCCTAGGCAGACTTGTGCCCAACTTGGGAGGATCTAATGCCACCTGTCGGAGGCTATATGTGGGTGTCCTCCACAATATGGCCCTGTATGGTGTGCCGTTCTGGGTGGACGCCCTTAACACAGAGAATAGAGCTATGCTGCGAACCGTGAGAACCGTGGCCAATTGCGCAGTTGATGGCTCTCGAATGATCGCCTGGGCTGTAACATGCATCCTAGCCGCCAACCCGTCTTGGAAGCTAGATGCTTAGATCTTGACGGTTGTTTACAATGAGCGCGCCGACCGCAAGGAGCGAGGTGAACGATCCGCCATTGAGGCTGTGGTGAGGACAGGAAGAGATGCGTCCGGGCATAGCTGCTTTGGAAATTACCTGCACATGATGCGAAGGAAGGCGACCCCGTCGTGTCATGAGGGCGGCGCTACTGAGGACACTGCGCAGCTTACTCTAGAGGTGCGAAGCGCGTAGGTCAGCGGTGTGACACCCTAACGACGACTCTCTGCCTAGTCAAGTCAACGCTATGCTGAGTGGCGACAGGTCTTGGCGTGCCGTGGTCTCCTTTTGTGAGGACGTCATCTCGCAAAAGGAGGCAACGGAGAGGGCTCACGAGGTGGACGCTAGAGCTGACCCCTTGCGCCGTCGGAGCGAAAGAAGGAGAAGATGCCTGTATGCGCGGTACCCTCCATAGGTGGTTGGCACATCCTAAGTTCTCTCAATTCCTGTGTATGACCGAATCGAGGTTGAGTGCGCCGTGCGCGTGGCCTACCCCGAGTGGCGCCTCCGCCCGGCCCTCCACGACCCAACCTGACTCTGTGCTTCCCTGCGCCTCCAGCGCCCTGTGTCTCACGCTCCGAGCGAGAGGGGTTCGGGCGGCTCGACGGTGCTGGGAACAGGAGACCTCAAGAACTTACCCCCCTTACAGGGAAGAATGAGCCAGTTAAGGTTGACCGACGCTGGATATGTCAAGTTACAGTGCTTCAAATTCATTGCTCCAGTTTCATTTATTGAATTTAATTTTCTGGTATAATGTTTTGGATGACCATTTTTCAGAATGTCGTAAATAAATCGATTCTCTACCGAATCTACTAAACTATACCAATTTTCTACTGAAATTATTACTAAATCATCAAAATCATAAATCATTTATTCAGTCTAGGCTGTTAGAAGTACTTGTGAAGGTCAAGAAGCTACGCCATCGGTTCGCAAAACTACGGCGGGAGACCTTGTACTTAGATGAACCGGCAAGAAACTCAGCAAGGGCTGTTTTTTTCTCCCTGTATTGTTATATACAGAATCGTCAAGTTGAAAAATTACTTCAAAGCTACTTCTGAAGTCGCCTTTCCATTACATCATTTAGGATATAGTAACAATAAATTTTATAATTAACTTTATATTTAGTATATAGGAAGCGGCATTAGATAGGCACTATATTACTGTTATGAAAAATTACTAATACCCATCAAATTACAAGATACACTATGTCCATGCATTACGAGCATTTCGATAATCATCAACTTTATAATAGCCCTTATTTATAACATTATTCTTGATCTGAGATTTAAATTTGGTCAGTGGAAGCTCAATTAGATCTTGGGGAACTTTTTCAAGCAGTGCAATACTACAACCCAGAAATAAACCTCTTGATTTTGGAGTCTGAAACATGGAACGGCAAGCTTCTTCTTAAATCTCCAGTTAAAGTTATGGGTTTGACTTTTTTTGCAAATGCCTCATAGTTTTTTCTTATATTACCTACACTAATATTATAAAGGCAAAAATTTGTGTGTGTGTATGTTTGTTACTTCTTCACGTATAAACGCCTGGAGCGATTTTAATAAAATTTGGTATTATATATATTATATAAACCGCGGGTAACACCGCGGGGCACAGCTAGTATATTATACATATTTTTATAAATGTGTTGC